TTCTCTGAATGTGGCTGGCCCGGAGTCTTTCTGAAAAGCCATTGACAATGACACTGGGACTTGTTTCCTCTGCATATACTGGATGTTGGGGATCCAGTCTGTTTGGATACTCACCTTCCTGGACCTGGAGGGAGGGGGGAGGAAGTTGAACTTCCCACAGGGCAGGAAACCCTGACTGCTCTTAGGACTGGAGAGGGAGGAGGAGAGGAAGTGGGGGGAGCAGGAGGGTATTGGGAGGAGGGGCAGAAATGGAAACTTTTATAATTTAATAAACTTTGAAAAGAAAAAAAAAAGAAGAGAAAGCCTGAAAGCATTGGCAGAAAACAAGGGAAAGACAACAAAAATCTGAGTGAATGGCCTCAAATATTATCATTTAAATCCCAGTGTAAGAGTAATTAGTACATTTTAAGATAAAATTGATCTTCCTACAAAGTGTTATTTTTCTTTTAAACAAATAGTAATGACCACGGTTTTGGCATTACAATTCAAAACCTTCACGTAGTGGAAGCTTTAAATTCTGTCAATATAGTAACTTCCCATATAATTCTATCCATAGAAATCAGGAAAAATGATGAGAGTACCTGCTAATTTGATTTATGATAGTAACTGCCATTGCTTGTCAAAGTTACTCCACTTATAAAAGAAAATTCATAAACACATTCTAAAAGTCCATAAGAAAGCACCTATTGGAGCTAAGGAGACGGTTCAGCAATTGAGAGCACTGTCTGCTCTTCCAGAGGACCTGAGTTCAATTCCCAGTGCCCACACAACAGTTCATAACCACCTGGAATAATGAAGCAGCTTGCATTATCTGACTTTAATTGTATTTCTATATTTGTTTTATTTGGATGCTGTTGCTATGATGGCAGTCTTTTTATCCTCTCTGAGTGGTACTGAAAACTAAAGGATGCTCATTAATAAGACCTTTAATTAAAACTAGAAGACCCATCCATCCCCACAGATGTGCAAGCAGACACTCAGAAGAGTAAGTCAAATGAAAACGCAATGAATCTGATTCCACTAGAAGTTCACAGATTTTTAATAACTGAATCCAAAGATGTTGAAATTGATGGAATGCTTAAGAATTCAAACTTAATTTTATAAATGAGCAGCCACCTCAATGAGGATTTAGATAAACAGATGGTGAAGTATAAAAGAAGTGAAAGATCTGGGCAGAAACTTGGCAGCATGGACAAGAAATAAGAAAGAAGAGATAATCTCTGAAAGGAAAGCCTAGAAATAAAAAGGCCAATATAAAATCAAACAAAACTCCATGGAGGGCATCACCAATGCACTGACCAAGCAGAAGAAAGAATGTCAAGAATAAACGATAAGGTTATAGAAACATTACAGTCAAATAACAATAAAGTAAGAACTAAGCAATCACAACCACAAGCAAGGCTGCAAAAAAACTAATGATTGAAAAGTAAAGTATTTTTTAAATGAGAGATAAATTTTTCATTACTACTTTTTAAAAACCTCTGCTTGAAGTATATGCTAGAAAAAATTAACATGTTTGTGAAAAAAGAAAGTATATTTTGAGAAAAATGTATTTAACAAATTCTAGAACATGAACTACATCAGCAGAAAGAAGGTACTGACAATGGTGCCAGCAATGTCAAGAATGCAGCCTTACCTCACAGCCCAGATCAACTCTAGCTGCTAGCTGCTCCTTCAGAGAACAAAGAAAACAAAGCTATTTGTACATTCACAGACAAAACTGAACTCAAGACAACCCCAAGCTTTTCACCAACTGAATAGTTTATTCCACTCTGATCAAGAGATACAGGTTAGCCTGTTAATGTACATGCCTTGTAAGTCCACAAGAACATAAAGCCTTTCTATTTTATATGATTTGTAAATCCGACAAATAACCAAGTGGTAAAACAAATTCCCAAGTAGGACTAGTTTTAAAGCATTGCATCAAAATATTTTAGATATTTTTAAAATCTTTTCCTTATGTGAAAGATTTAATCCTCTGAACAGTTAAATAATCACACACAAAAAAAAGTACTAAGAACTGTGCATCTAAAGCTCCAGACGGCTCAGGGCAAAGGCAAGTTTAAAAGAAAAGCACCAGGGTTCATTTTCTTCTTTGATGCCGCTCTGCAGCAGCCATCTGTCCTTCCGTGGGGTTTCCTGTGTGCTCCCATGCTGGCAACAGGGCTTCCCTCCAACAGCAACAATCCCTGCACCTTCAGCATGAAATGTCTTCCTCCAGGCTGCTCTCCTCCTGCCCAACAATATTACACTTCTCTTTTCTTTGTCTTTTCCACTAGTCTTTTCCCAAAATGAAGAGGAGACCCACGTTACCTTCATTTCACATCCAGTTCCACCCTTCTAATTGTCCACTCAGAACAGATACTCTCTCTGTCCAGTCCCACCTGACCCACTGTTATCTGGACCCCCGGAACACTGCTCTTGCATCTTGCCAACACCCCCACTATAGTGAGTCCAAAAGATGCCTGCAGCCCTTGAACTTCGTGAGCTCTAAGCCTATAATTCTGCAATTAATCTAACCATCTTTTAGAACTCCAGCAGTCTAAAATAAAATTCAGCTTTAAAATAAGTTCCTCTACCTGACAGTCAGTTAACTGACCAAGCGATATTCCCACATCTTAGTCCGGTCGGTCACTGAGCTCCCTTTACTCTTCCACAGCTTTGCCTCCCTGCCCTTCCCATTCAACAGCAGCCACAGCAGCACACACTGCACTCTCAACACATAATGGGCAATTAGTCTGCTCTCTTTGTGTCTACTCACACCTAGTCTAGCCGTAATGTCATTAACAAAATTTGCCTAAAGCATTTTGTTAAAGACTAGAATGAGTGAGAAATGGACAACTCGTTAGCTGGATGAAACTGATACAAACCTGCTGAAACTAAAACAAACCCAAGTTTTAGTGTAACCTAAGCAACAAAATATGAACACAACAATTCTGGTAAAGTGCTCACATTAGCAACAAACTGAGATCACCTTGGCTGTCCAGGAAAAGCAGAATACTTCAATTTTAGACTACAAATGCAAAAGAAAAATTAATGCTTATAAATTTAGAGAAAATTCAATGCTGTATGTCATACAGAATTTATAATATGTTCCAATTTTATTTAAATTTTGAATATTATAAAGTCATATAGAAGAAAAGAAAGATATAATCAGGTCAAATTGTCTCAAATTTGGAATATTTGCATAAACTTTACCAATAGAGTACATCTATTACAAAGATCAAAATTTCAAAATGTTCTAAACTCTTAAACATTTTGAGTGCCAATGACACTCAACAATTCCATTTAGAGAGCATCTAGACTTTCGATTTTCAGGTAGATTTCAGGGTCTCACCTGTATAACAATGTTAATCTCTGTTAATATTTTGAGACAACTTTATTCCTCTGATTTTCATATCTTTAAAACTTTAAATTCTTTTTATTCTTACAGTGCTGGGATATAAATTCTTAAGTGAAAAAAGCATCATGAAAATCATTTGAAATCCAGTTTAATGTCCTCAAAGCAAATTGACAGCATATATGAAAAATAGAATATGAAGGGAAAAAGTCTCCATGTCTCACTAGAACCTGAAATGCAAACGGACAGCTTCTCAGCCAACGTGACAGAGCACACCTTTGTATCAACACTCGACATGCAGAGGCAGAGATTGCCCAGGAGTTTAAGACCAGCCTGATCTACATAGTGAATTCTAGGCGAACCAAAGCTACATAATGAGAGTCTGTCTCAAGGAGCAAATGAAAACAGTGAAATTCTCAAGTTAACATGTAATACAGGACAGCCTATCAACATTAGCCACCCAGATAATAATAAGCAGAAACAATCCCATACAACTAGTTTGGTTCACTTACACTAACAAATCTTTGTCACATCTACTGTTTCCTTAAATTCCTCCTGTCCACCTATGCAAGCACTTGCACCCTTCCTGAGAAGGGCCATCGGGCAGAAGGGAATGCCAAGCAGTCCTCTGAAGCCACCTGGGGCACATAAATACCAGTGTGTAGACATCCTCTGGAAAATGCCATGGGCACTACAGGGCAGCTGCTCATGGACTGTCACTGCAGGCCTGTCCCCTTCCTGACTTCTAGTCGCCATGCTGTACCGACCCCTTACCCACGGTACTGCTGAGATCACCCTTTGTCTCGCCTATCATTAGAGCTCCTTTTCACATCTGGACTCCAATTAATCTTCCTCAAGTTCCCTTCTGGGTCAATTTTTAAATTCTTTTATCCAATAAATCAAGAACTTGGAAAAGAAGCCCATGTCCACGGTGACATTTGTACTTGAAAACCTCTTATCTCTCATGGCTACTCACTTATGACATTTCCTTGAGTTTTTCTTTCTTCTTTTTTAATCTAAATGACTTTCTTCATGCTCTCATTCCCTTCTTTCCCTCTACCACAGCATATTCACTAGCCACACAACATGCACAATAAAGCACTTGTAAAGTGATGCCTCCATATTATTATAGCACTGAAAAATTCCTATCACTGAAGGGGATCAAAGGCATCATAACAAAGGGTTTTTTTGTCCTATTAAGCCATCAGTGCCCTTGTACATCTTGCTTTACCATACCTCTTGATAAGGTAATAAGGTTGATACTCAGTGGTTAACCTACACAATCTAGGTTTGTGTACACACAAGAAGAAATCACCTGATGACATCATAGAATGTAGGATGTGTCCTGCTGTTATGTGACACGCACTCCTACTCTACTTTGTGTATAATTTAGTTTGGTATTTTTGTGATATGTCATCCTCAATTATTATTTAGCTATTTTAATGTGCCTGACTCATTTCATCAACAAGAAAGTTGGTCAAGGACATTTTACATTTCCTTGGAACATTCTCTTACTTAAAATTCTTTCAGGGCCAAACAGTAATAAATGTTTAATAACCAATGTTCACTGAATAGAATTAAATTAGTTAAGATATTTTCTATAACCAATGTGACTCTGCCTATAAAACAAATATGCATATAAAATAAATATTGGTTTTACCCCAAGATTCCAACTATTCAGGCGAGCTTCAATGTCACTGTCATCCAAAGAAACAGGAGATTTTTTTGAATGAACTTCCTGAAATACAAAAACAGGTAAAAAGAAAGAAGAAATTAAATAAAAGAGGAAACAATGGAAGAAACAAAGGAGAAGGAGGAAGAAAAACGGGTGAGGGAGTAAGAGGAGGAAAAGAAAACAAGACAAAATATGTCATTCAAAGTAATGAGCGTTTTGTGTACTTATTTGGTGATGTGGTATTGTCCACAGAGGACAGGGTTGTTACAACTAAGCTAGTCTCAACTCTAACTAATGACTGTTTATTACAGATGCTTAAGGCAATGAGATGCCTTAACAATATATTCACAAAGTAAGTAGATTTCAAAAAAAATCAAAAGAATATTTTGAAAATTAATCCAGACTCTTTAAGTTTCTTGTACAAAAAGTTTTAATTGTGGTATACCACAGTAGCTTGAAAGCAGGGAGAGAACTTGAAAAGATGAATTATTTACTCTCTTTAAAATTAGTTAACAGGGAAGTTTTGTGTTGATGTCCAAGAAGTTCTTTGTTCTTAAATTAATCTCACTCATACACTGTATAAAAAGAGAAATAAACTCAAGACTCGCATCATGAAAACGCAATTATGTGACTCTTTACTTTTCTCCTGTATAATTCATAGTACTACACATTTATCAACCAAATTAAAAGTAATCAACTAAAGACAGCCTAGAAGCTGTGCAGAGAAATCCAACCATATTAAAGTACTAGGTGCAGCCACATAGAGGAACTGCCTTACAGACCTGACGCTGTCTTCTGAGACAGGCTCTGTGGCCAAAACATGCTACTGCTTTAGGAGCACCTCGCTGCTAAACACTGAATGGGTTTATCCATGACATGTACACCAAAATACGTGATGAAAGCAAGCAATGTTCTATGCATTCTACTGATTTCCTCTAGCTTCTGCTCAACAAGGTGAAAAGAGTTTCTATTATTTCTACCTTTAACAATTTGTGATGACTTTCACTGGTGCCCTCTTAACTTTTTTAAGCCTTCTTTGTGAGCTCATGACCTTCCTTGTAACTCAAAGTCAAATAACCCAAGACAATCAGCGTTAGGCAATAATGACTACACATAAAACCACTGCTCCCTTTACACAGCTTGTTCAAATCGGCCAATGATAAGCACACTGATTTTAGAGGCATTCATATCTGAATATATAAATAGCTTACTTTTATCAAAACAGCAGCATTCCCTTCATCACTACAAATTAATCTGCTTCCTAATTTTATGATCACTAGGAATCTAATAACTCAATTAACATACTGAGTAAAGGAGAAAAGGAATGAAAAATAGGATGTTCCAGCATCACTTCTTGGCACGCAGAAGAAATGACAGGCTGACCAGCATAGTGCAGCACCAGCGAGCAAGCAGAATGGCATCGCTCTTGTTGACATCGATGCATCCAAAACTGTCACACTTCAGTTTTTAACTTCAGACTTTTAAATACTAATTGGAACTTTGACAATATGAAACAAACTTTGGAATTCTTTTTAAAACATAGAACAAGTAGAAGTAAAATCTAATCTTACACAGATCTTTGAAGTAATGTGTTGTCTATCTTCTCTGTAAGTTGGACTCATGGAATGGGACCTCATTTGGAGCTTTCCAATGTACTCCTCGCTACTAAGAGACCAAAATAGTAACGATTAAACTGTGGAGAACTCAGAGGGCAGAGAATACCCAAATCTAGGATCGCCCACCTTTATAAATGAGATGATAGTTCATATTAATGTTGATTCACTCAACAGAAGAACAATATTCATGGACATAAATGAATAACCATTTGTACTTCTAGTATGTTCTTTCATTTACATTAAACAATAAGTAAAATGTCACATAAAAGCCTCTTAAAAACAAATGCTATTTTCAAGTCAGATTCTAGCCACATGTATCTAAATCATTTCTCTTCCTTTCCTTTTCCCAAGTGTTAAGGAAAGTGTAAATGACATGTACATTCTTAAAGAAACATTGTTTTCAGGTTAGCAAACTTTGTTACATTCAAGATTAAATCTTAAAATATATAAAATAACAAAACTTCCTTGTTGCTTAAAGTTTCAATTAATTTGAAACCATATTAGAAACCACAGAACAAAGAAGCTGTTAATTTAAAAATAAATCTTGTCAATTCAGGCAAAATGCTGTACATCTAGGGGCTATGAAGATGGTTCAGCAGTTAAGGGTAATGGCTGTTGTTCCAAGTACAATTCCCAGAACCCACACGGCAGCTTACAACCACTTCTAATTCCAGTTCCAAGGGATCTCTGCCCTCCATCTGCCTGCATGTACAGCAGGCCACACTTGGTACACAGAGATGCATGCAGGCAAAATACCCAAAATATCAATAGTTTTTAAAATTTAAATATAAGTCTAGAAAACAGAAATTATTTTAATAGGTGTTACCAAAAAGGCTCTTCTTTAATATAAATATCCTATAAAACACTATACTCTAATATTATACATTAGGCCACAGTTTTATATATATGCTTTAATACCTACAAACCAAGCAACAGCTTCAAGACAGAGGAAACAGAAACTGACTAGTAAGCGTAAACACTCTCCCAGTCTTAGTTTGGCAGCTACAATTACTGCATCTGAAAGCACTCTGAACTATTAAATGGAAAAGCCTAGAAATAAGCAATTCATTGAACTTTATCATCAGCATGAGAGCATAGAAAAGATATATATAAGGACAAATAAACCTACAGTTTTTCAGAACTTACTTCCCAAAGGTAAGTTGGGAAGACACCCATACATTTAGTTTAAATAACTAGTGTTCAACCATAAACTATATCAGAATTTCTTTACTTCACAAAATTCAAGCCATAAAAATATCTGAAAAGGACAGAAGAGACAGCTCAGCAAAAAACATGCTTGCTGCCACCGACACAGCGGCATTCCTGACTTTGATCCCCAGAACCCCCATAAAGGTGGAAAGAGCCCCAGTTACACAGAGTTCTCCTCTAACTGCTACATGCATCCTGTGACACACATACCCAAACACAATAAAGAAAGAAAGAAAACTTTAAGATGAATGCCAAAAAAAAAGCAGGATACTAGATTTAAAAAAAAAAACAGTACTAAAGTAATGTAGGGTTTGGGGTATAAAGTGAGACTAATAAAATAGCATCCTTTGGATTTGTTACTAAGGAATACTAAATGTCTGGATAAGATGTATTGAAAAGAACTACTGATTTTTTTATAAGTCTATTCAGCCTCTCAGCTGTGCAAATTGCTGAAAGCAAAGAGGAAAACAGATAGGCAATAATTTGAGGCTAACTTCATTAGCCAACATGCTTGAGCTTATACAAGCATTTAAAATTTGGTTTATAGGAAGATACACTTGACGCACTAAGCAATGGCCTATCCTTTTTTTGAGAATTGATTAAACAATCATAAAAAGAGCTGTAGTTAAAAATTGAAAATGGTTAAATATTAAAAGTACTTCTTGAGAAAATATTAATAAAAAGGAAGTCTGAACCATTTATCTATTTATTTGGCAGGGGCATGAATAAAAGGACAGACTAAATTCACATGCACCTGCTCATGGCTCCCAAGCAACTGCTCTCTCTTTACAATGAATCTTCTGAAAAGATCCCTACCCCAATTTGTCATTTATTTTTCAAGTAACTACAAGATGACTTTCACTCATCTTACCCCTCACACCTGTCCTTCAATAGCTTTACTCTCTCTCTTCCCATCCTATACACACTATGGTCCTAGGCTTCTGCGTTTAGCCTCTATTTTAATTTTATCTGCTTTTCTTGGTTAATCCAATCAATATACTATTAGTATTTCAAATGGCAAAGGGAAGCTTTGTTTACCAAATCTGCAACCCTTGTTCAAATTATTCTTAGCTTCTAGCTCCATCATAGATATAAACTGAACACCACTGCTTCTAATTCAACATATCCCAAACTACACTCAGTAAGAAGCTCCTAAAAAAATGTCCCCAATAAAGACCTAGGAAAGCAGAGATATGCAGAAGCCAGCTTCTCATGAAGGCAATTAAGCCAACAAAAGGAGGAGGTCAATACTGTTGCAAAAATATGGATGGCACAAGAAACATACTAGGCACAGAAGTTTCATTCTATGCCACGTAGCTGTCTTCAACTGGAAATACAACTAACTTGAACTCTAGAGTACATACTAGGACAGCCTCAAGTTTACAGTGATGGGACTAGTGGTCAGAGTGAACGGTGGGGCACAGAGTAGGAGAAAAACCCACCCTACAAGGCTCTTTGTGAATAACAAGTGCTGCTGCCACACAGAATACCTGGTTCTGATGCTTGTGTGGTTTACAAGTGGTACATAGGACACGGCCATAGCAAGCTCATGTATGGTTGTACATGTGCCCAATTAGTAAAGGAGTGGATTAATTTCAGGGTGCCAAAGTTAACAGGAAAAAAATAGTATCTTGCTACAGAATAATTCTTCTGTACACTATGAAAATGTGTTGTACCCATTGTTAATAACAAGCTGACTGACCGATGGCTAGGCAGGATTTTGGGGGTAGAGAGAATGCAGGGAGGAAGAAGGGCGGAGTCAGGGGAGTCACCAGCAAAACACAGAGAAGAAACAAGACATGTAAGATGAAAGGTAACGCCACATGACAGAATGTAGAGTAACAGAAATAGGTTAGTTTAAGTTATTAGAGCTAGTTAGCAATAAATATGAGCTATTGGCTGAGCATTTATAATTAATAGTAAGTATCTGTGTGGTTATTTGGGAGTAACAACCAAGACACAGTGAAGCCCCACCTATAAATGGCACTCCAACATGAGGCCAGAATTTCCACATATGACCTGAAAAAGCTTTTTAAAAGATTCTAAACACACAAAAACAAAGTCAAATGTGGCTTCTTGGTAACTGCCTTATCTCAGGTAGGCTCTATTTGCTAACAAAAAGTAGAGGTGTGGATCCTTTAAGAGGTAGCTTCCTGGCTCATGCTAGCAGCAAACTAAGGCAGGGTTCTCTTAAGAGGCCCTGCTACTGAAAACTTAAATGGGGTTTATGAGCAGTGGGTGACATGCTATTTGGTGGAAGTGTGGACCCCAAAAATTCTCAGAGTTGAGGCAACAAACATGGTTCCCACCAGTAACTCCACCATGAAGCTAAGTTCTCAGGGAACCAAAGGGGGTGGATCCAGCCACCATTCACTAAGCTGAGCAGTGCTGGCAGCTGGCATAGCAGTCTGAGATTCATCTCATGCAACAGTTATGTGGGTTGGCCTGTCTGAGGGGTCTCTGGTAGTGGGACCAGGATCTATCCCTGATGTATGACATAGTTTTTTGGAGCCCATTCCCTATGCTGTGATAGCATGATCAGCCTTGATGCAGCGGGGAGGGGCTTGGTCCTGCCTCAACTTAATGTGCCAGATTTTGTTGATTCCTCATGAGAGGCCTTACCCTGTGCAAAAAGTAGAAGAGAGTTGGGGTGGGGGAATGTAGGGAGGTGGAAGGAGGATTGGGAGGGAGAACTGTGCTTGGAATGTAAAATGAAATTTTAAATAAAGATTTATCTCATGTAATCAAAAAAACAATAAGAATGCTCAGTGAAGACAGATCCAGATTGGAAAAAAAAAACCTCTAAACTGATTACAGTGTGTTTAAAAATATACATATGCTTGAGAGAGAAAAAAAAGGGTGGATTATAGATTAAAAAATAATTTTAAAATTATAATAAAGTCCTTTAAAAAGGAAGAATAATAAAATGCATATTATATATGTATGTATGTATATGTACACACACACACACACACACACACATGTACAGACTACTTCAGCCAAGACTTAACAATTATCCTGATTTTCTCAAGATTCCCCTAAAGATGTCAGTGCCCCAAGACAACAGGAAGTAGTCTGTAAGTAGAGACTTCTCATTCGTTCCCGGCCACCCAGACCCAAATAATCACATGGAAACTATATTAATTACAACACTGCTTCACGTATTAGCACAGGCTTCTTATTAACTAACTCTTACATCTTAAATTAACCCATTTCTAGTTATCAATGTATCACCACAAGGCTGTGGCCTACTAGTAAGATTCCAGTGTCTGTCTACTTCAGCAGTTACATGGTGTCTCTATGATTCTGCTTACTCTCTCTATATAGCTCTACCAGCCTGGCTATATTCTGCCCTGTCATAGGCCAAAACAGTTTTATTCATTAACCAATAAGAGCAACACATATAGAGAAGGATATCCCATGTCATCTCCTCTTTTCTAGCTAAATAAAAAATAAGGTTTTACCTTTAACATAGTAAAATTACATATAACAAAACAGGTATAAAGCAAAAATTACACTTACAATATTTAGTCTCTTTGTATCTTGAAAGTATCATATTTAATTTATCTTTTATCATAACTAAGAAAAACTATAACTCTTCAAAGACCCCAGAAGGATATGATATTACCTAAGTAAACAGGAAGTGCATTGTAAGCCACTTCCAAAACTCTAGAATTGATAGAGACAGCTTGCTGCCTGGACAGTCACCCAAAGTTCTTCTGTAATGTTGGGGCATTCATCTTCAGTCCACAGGCACATCATATCTGGCAGACGTTTCCATGAAGCAGGAAATTAGAAAGACCTTTTAGCCTATATTAGCAGTTTGTCAGTCACTTTCTT